ACAGACAGGGTCGTCCCAATATGCGTTTTTGCAATTTGCATATAGGCAAAAACGCATAAAAATGCCTGCCCCTCCCACAATTTCCATCCTTGGCCTGCCATTTTGGTACTTACCTTAATGCTGGCAGCATCGCCTTTACTTAAATACTTTTTATTGGCTAACTAATGCAAAAGTTAAATCAGTTTGAAATACAAGTGAAGTAACATTGATCAAAAAATTCATGTGGCTTTGTAGCATTTTCTGAAAGAAATCCTTACGATTCGTGACCCAGCTCGGAACGTCAGATAGAAAAAAAAAGGAAAGCACGCGAAGGGGATAATTTGCTACCAAATTAACGACCTTAATTTTGTTTGCAACTTAAATCAGATCGGAAAATAAAAAAAGATGAAAAAGGAAAAAAAAAAACCACAGAAGTGCCGCACGACACAACTAATCTGGAACGCAAGCTGACTATCCTGGAATTTACTGTAAAATGATGTTCACAACTGACCTTTTTCCGAAAAGATATCCAGGTCTTTTCATCGTCCCTATTGCCCTATTTTTCATTGAAAAAGGGTAGGAAAAACTACATGGATCTCGCTTGCAGTGACGTTTCAGGCCTGGTAATTTACTCATGCCTGGCGTAGTTTATTATAATAATGCTTAGCTTAGTTATGTTAATCGTTTGGGTGCATTTTATCAACTTTTTTCCTAATCAACCGGCTGATCCAAATAACCTTAGAAATTATTTTCTTGCTTTGATCATTTCTGGTTTTTATTAAAGTTTAGCTCTTCAGTTATGTAACTGGCTAATTTTCCAATTGCTTTGACCATTGCTGCATTTCCTGATGGTCAGTCTGCTGCAGCCCTGAAGCCTTGTCTCCTGAACGCTCACCCAGATCAGCGGTTCTTCCGCAAAAGTGCTTTAGCCAAGTTTTAGTGTTTCGGGGCGTATGCTAAGCAGCACCATCTTGTTTCGAGCGTGGCCAATCCCAGACAACAGTCAGGTACCTTCTGACTAGGAGGATAATCGTTATTTAAAGGAAAAATTTTTTGCATCTAAAGAATTTGCTTAGCGCTTTTGGGGAGTGCCAACAGGGAGTGAGCAAAAGAGAGAAGAGCTCTGACAATTTAAAAGAGCTTCAAAAGAGTGTAACTGAAAAACTTGGGTTTAAAAGTAATAATAACAGTGGAATTCATCCTAAGTAATGTATTTTATATTTTGTCCTGAATTTGGTTCCGGATCTTTATCTCCTTCTGAAACAGGTCCAGAAAGAGATAAAAATCCGGAACCAAATCCAGGACAAAATATAAAATCCAGGGCGAATTCACTTGTAGTACCGGAACACTTTTTCGTGTTCAACATGATATTTGTGCAATATTGGATCATTCATCCATGAAACTGACCTGATAGCGGTGAGGAGATCCATATGATCCGTCAAGCATTCATTATGACTGAAACTCTTCCACATGCCATAGTGCCGCCCAGTCACCAGTAACCGTCCACTGGATCGAATATCAGTATGACTTTTCGACTAAATGTTGAAAAATCATAAATAAATGAACAAGCAAAGACTTTCCTCCAAAAAATTAAACATTAATCTAATTCAGAAAGAAAACAGAAGAAATTCTAAAAACTCCTTTACAGCTCACTCTCTGCGCGAGGCATACAAAAGTAGCTTGAAGGGTATCACAGCAACCATTTATTGACAGGGCTGTCGACCTTTACCTCTTTCGAGGATTGCTTAGAAGCAAGTTGATGGCGCTTTTGACTTCCTAGCACATGCCAGTACCAGTTTACTACTGAAAGGAACGAATGAAGGTTCGCTTCCACCAGAAAAAAGTGCACGACACCGTCGCTATATTCTGCTGCGCCAAAACAATTAACCATCCGTAACATATGCTTTTCGTCAAAATTTCGCGCGTACACTTGTCCCTCTTTGGATTGTAATATCAAGCTAACTTTTCTTAAACCAGGATCGAAAAGTGAACTTGGA